AAATTCATCAAACCAAAGATTATTAAACTGGGTCAATATAATCAATATTGTATAATAGTAAAACTGTTTCAATTTAATTTTAATTATAATAATAATTAAATTAAATTATAGAATTGGAAAACACCAACACAGTTACTTAAATTCAGATAAATAAAAATATGTGATCTACACCATTTTGATGTATGTACCTACTAAGAATAATTTACAATCAGAACTAAAAGAAAACTACTATTAAATGTAACTAGTAAGGTTTCTTGCAATTTTTATTATATAAGGATGTAAAAGTTTTAAGTTTCTTGTAAAATATTTTATTTACTCTATTTACATCAATTCAATACTGACTCGGTCACGGTCTTTACCGGTCATTCTAGATGTTTTAATAGAAGAGGGCCTATACAAGCACTCTTCTATTAAAACATCTAGAATGTTCGAGTACATACCGGTCCCGACCGACTAGGTGGAGAAAGTTCTAGTGTAAAATTTTCTAGAAAACTTTATTCTGTTACTCGATACTAGATGGCGCTAGTGGCATAAATATGGCGGGCAACAATAGCATTCCTTGGAGAAGGTCTATGTTTAGCAGTGGACTTGTGAAGGAGTAAATATGGTGATGAAATAATGTATTATTAATGCATTTTTATTTTGTTGTCCTTACATTTTATTTATTTCAAGGTCTGAAATAAACTGTTCGATAGCTATAGATAGTATATTGAGTTTACATATTATGTAATGTAAATTAAAGAATATATTTATATTTTACGTGGTAGAGTGACAGAGAGCTTTGCTAACTATACAAGTCTGCAGCACGAATGGATCGGCTCGACCGGGGTAGAAACACGATCTCACAGAACACCAGCCTGAAAAAGCAGAATAATGCTGTAGTGTTTCGTATGGTGAGTGAAGAGAACCGTAGACTCTTTGTACTACTGTGGCAAACGAGCACACAGTCTACCTGATGGTAAGTGGTTGCTGCGGCCCATAGACATCTACATCTTCTTAATCTATAAAAAAATATTGACATTCAAACATGCATATGACGGCATCTTCGTTATTGTAGGTATAAGATATTTTAAACAACAACTTATTGTACACAGCCATTTAGCTTGGATAGACAGCTTTAGAAAAATTACGACAAATCTTCTTGTCATGTATTCCTCAAAACTTGAAAACAAAATACCTGGTCAAAAGACCTATGGATGCAGGTGGCTATATTCAGCAGTGGACTTATAAAGAACTCTAATGACGATAAACAAGCGTTTGTTCTACTTAAAATGATTTTAAAAATATTTTGCATGGCTTGGTAAAAATGAAATCAAGTAATTTATAGGATTTTCCTTTACTTACCGATTTAAACAAAGGGACAACTTACTGTGTTTCATTACTTTCGTTTGGTTAGAAATCACACAACAGTCAACGCTTGGAAATAAAAATTATCGTTAACATGGGGGCTATATCAAACTTAATTATATCAATATTTTATTTGAAAGCCGCAACAGCTCAATTACAGGTAACGGTAAAATAACCTGTGTCTAACCGTTTGGCAGCGGCCTATGACAACTTTTGTGAAAAAGACGAAATTTGTGAAATTAGGCGACGCCGTGTCTAATGTTCGTCATCGTCTCAAATGATTATGTACTAAAGTGAGGTGAGCGTCAAGGTAATCTACATCTTCGGACGTTTACGTTCACGATCTGATCAAGTAACATAGAAGTATGTAAGGATTGGTTGTCACATAGGTACAACTTACGTGGTTATTCACACATAATTATCTCAGCTACTCACGCCATTGACTTCTATATACTTACATAATATGACTTCTATAGCCCTCAATTAGATGATTTAGAACGTTATTGCCTATTTGCGATCATTATGCGCGATCTTTTGAAATAAGTATAATGTAAAAAAACGCAGATAGTGGTGTTCCGCTCGAGCAATTTCCGAAGAGGAGAGGATTTCGCTTGATTTGTACGCGGTAGGACCAAGCTGCAGCAAATTATAGTTGTAGCACGAATGGGTCGACTCGACAGGGAAAGGACCACGCTCTAACATTATACTAGCGTAAAATAGAAACTTAATGCTGATGTGTTTCGCTTTCGTATGATGAGCGCAGAGAACCGGAGAACCTTTCTACAGCTTAGGAGGCATTTCTTTTTAGACCTCAGGGGTAATAACGCACTTGCATTTCGATTCTTAACTAAGGATAGGAGTAGATGTCTATGAGCCACAGAACTCATTCATCATCAGGTTGGCTGTGTGCCCGTTTGTCACTCTTATTCCATAAAAAAAAATCTAAGCGATGTTTGTACTTATTAAAGGAGTAGGTAAATCTGTAAAAGAACACATAACTGACGTGAAACATCAACGTTCCGGGAAGTCTGCAGTTTGTGATCATATCCTAGACGGCCCCAACCATTACATCAGATTTGCTAGACCACAAATCCTCGCGAAAGAACATCGATTCTTACCAAGGAAGTAGTATTAATAGAAGTAGTAATAGAGAATGGGGCTGGGTATCTGCTTGGGACGCTATAATTAATAAATTTAAAACTAAACCCAAGCATACCACTGCAACGACTTCAAAACACAGTAAGTTCATTCTGCGTAGATCGAACCAAAAACAATAAATAAAAAGCTCACATCGGGACGTCAGTCAACTGTCCCCCGTGACCATGGGTGCTGGAAGGCACCCGAAACGTCGGGTATTAAAAATAAAATAAATTAAACGCGATAAAATCCGTAAAATAGTTTTAATCAAGGAGTAAATCAGTTCAGATAAATAGGGGATATTCTAAACGAGGATTGACGTTATATATAACCTCCATAGAGGACGCGAACGGAAGACTCCTGTTGTACAATTTTAAGGCAAAGCTGACGCGGCGTTGAGTATATTGTAAATGCTTCTACACTTTTAAGGTTTGATTAAACGCTATAAAAGCGCACTTATAAACAGTAGCATCAGAGTACAGTACGTTCTGAGAACGCGATGTTGGTGTTATATGCTCCGAGTGTCTTAAGAATCCCGTACTAAAGTATTGACCTTCATGGGAAAGAGGAAAATATTCGTATAGAATGATGAATTCTACCTTTAGACAAAGTAACTGCATTTGAGACCATCCTAAAATTCAGTTCACAGTGGAGTTAGAGGCAAAAAATTCTTTATTTTTTCTAGATGTGTCAGTAATTTGGAATCCTGATAACACCTTGAGCCACACTGTGTATAGAAAAAAGACCCATTCAGATAGATATTTAAACGGTGATTTTCACCACCATCCTTCAGAGTTAGCTACCGTGGGTAAATCTTTCTTTCAGAGAGCACGAGGTAGCTGTGACAGTAAATACCTGGCCGCCGAGCTCTAGCACGTTAAGCAAGTTTTGCATGACAACAAGCTTCGGGTCCCGCGCCACAGCCGAGCGTATGCCTGCTATACCATACTGCCATCTGTCAGAGGTACCACTGACGAGATTGGCTACATCTTGAAGCGTCTTTCCAGATGTAGTCAAGTGTCAAATGCCAATCAAGTCAAGTGTAATGTACATTTGCAAGGTGCAGGAGTGTACAAGCTTAATTGCGAAACTGGTCTCTCTTACAAACTAAAAGATTAATAAAAACCCACGTTAAAGAGCACATAGCTAATATGAAGAATTTGCAGTCTGTAAATACGTACAGGATCGCCTCCGTCACTACAACAGACTTTATAGACCACAAATCCTCTTTAAAGAACTCCGATTCCTTCCAAGGATGTTTCGCGAGGCTATTGAAATCATTCTAATTTTAATGGAATAGATAGCTGGGTGCTACCATCTGCTTGAGATCCTATAATGTATAAAATTAAATGCCAACTCAAGCATATAACTTCAAGACTTCAAGATACTATAAATTAATACTGCGTAGATCGGAACAAAAATATATACTTTTAATCTAAAGGTAGCCCTGGTTAACTATTAATCAAGGGTGCTAAAAAGTGCCAAAAGGACGATAAGACCTTTTAAACGTTAAATTAATATCTTCAATCTGAAGTTCTACGTAGAGTAGACGAAGACGAAATAATTTTTTCTTTGTCTGTTAAAAAAACGTTACCTCCGCTCTAGGATTTCTCCTGTATCATGGGTATTGTACACATACATAAAATTCACAAGGACAAACATCTAGACCAGGAACAATTACTTATAGGCAATATAATACTTCTTCCTTGCAGGATTCAAACCCTCTGTCCTTATCCCTGTGATCGGCAGCGTTATTATTGTTAGGCTGTAGCTTATTAACTTATCATGCATGCTCATTGCTCATGCAAATGGGGTCACCATTAAGACATACTTATGATACCTTGATCGAAGTATTACCAAACATTGTGTAAAGTTTTTTGAAAATGTTAGAAAAAACGGTAAAAATCTGTAATTATTTCGAAATTTGTTTTATAAGTATTATATGTTTCTCAGTCTAATATACGTAACGATCAGAAGTTCTTTTGACATCTAATGGATGGGGTATAGGGATATAACCGCTATGGATTTTACGATAGTCGAATCAAAAAAAAATTCCTGATATTTTACATCCTTGCGCCCAGCGAAGCTAGAAGTATATAATTAAAACACCCAGAGTCCAAATCATATGAGTGGTTTGTCAACTCATATGGCCCATACCGGCGACAAGAAGCAGTGTCAACGGAGCGTTATCTCTGATACTGCGATTCACCTTCTAAGCTTGTCAATTAATACAGTTTTTATGAGTTACAAGATAATATGCTTTTTACTTCAGGATACACAATAAAAATACACGTCAAGATTCTGATGGTATCTACTAGCATCAATAATGCATAGTATCTAACTTTCCAACCTTGCCTTACAACCAAAACGTTACTTGCTTACGTACTTTACTGATATGTCAATCTTACGTTGCGACGCGTGTGTATCAAAGCTTGGAGCTTGGAGTAGATAGATATCGCGAAATAAAGACGAGAAGAAAGGGGAACCAGTGCAGCTAAGCTAGGGGGAGCGAACCGATGCATGCTTCTGATTCTGTAGCCGGGACAGGGTGGTACAGGCGGGGTTGGCGGGGGTCGGGCGGCCTTCGTTCAATACGCGCGCGCGCCACGCTGCACGCTCGCCCGTTGCTCCTCGTCGTCACTCGTCAGTCGCTTTTAAACGCCCCTTGCGTTTGGTCAGTGACAACGCCGGCTGATATCCGATACACTACGCTACCGATATTTCAAAACCTTATCGTGAAGTACGTATTTGAACATGATTACGCTTTAATAAATAGTTATATTATAGCAGATATAAATATTAACGTGTTAATACATACGGCACATAAATATTATTTATATTTTCCATTTGTTTACATAAAAATCATATGATTTTTTGTTATATCTAAATTACGAGTATTTATACTAGCTATTCGTAAATAAGTTTGTTTAAAGTGTGTTTTAGTGGCAAATTTGTGGTGTTTTTTGTACAAATTCAAGTTGGAAAACTTCTGGATTTTTCCGTACACCGGCAATCTACAACTGCAGTTAAAAGTTCTGTCAGACGTGAAAACTTGTATTTATGTGCATATGTAGTTATGTGTCGTATGTATGGTATGAATTGGCGAGTTAAAATAGCGTGAGCTTTGACATAGGAAATAAGTGTGTGAATATTTGATGGTGTGTCGTGATAGAAAGCGCATTACAGTCGAGATTGGCTTGCAAAACGTCGCGCGACGGCGCAACGGGGGTATTGATCGGCGACGGCGGGTCGCGAGACGCCGGCGTTCCTCCAGCCGCCTAAATAAAGCTCCGCATGTGTGCCGCCCTACGTCGATTCCGTCGCCTCCGCCACCGCCGTCGAGCCGATGCGTGATTTGCGCTACTATGCAGTCACACATGATTCAATTATTATTATATTACTACTCTCAGACTCTCTGTTAACTCCGTTACACTCCTTACTATGCAATTTGTTATCGCATAGACTTTTATCTAGAAATCAGAAAACAATCGACTTCTCCATTGTATAATTCGGTCATCCATTATATTTTATATTAGTAAGGCAATAATAATTTAGTGATTCTATGTTTATAATATTAAGTAAATAATACTATGTTGCCGAAATGTACCTAATAGGTAACTGACAAAATATGTTTATTTTTAGGTTGAAATGTTTGGCTAAGTGAATCAAGCTACACGTAAGAGCCATGGCGCGCATCGTGCTGGCGAGCGGAGCCTTGCTCTGGGTCCTCAGCATGACGCTCCAGACGCGCGCGCTTACTGTCTTGCCGCACGACGTTCGCCCTGGCCATGCAGTACAACACTTCGTAGGAAATTATTCTCGCTACACTCTACTTGACCCCGAGTACGCCTCTTACTTTACTCTTCTAGACGATGGACTTCTAATGACAATTGCCGACTTAGCGCCCTTACTGGATCAATCATTGAATCTCGCTATATTAGAACAAACACCGTTTAGCAGTTCAGCACATTCGGTACATCTACGTATAGTAGATCGTCGGAAAATGCTTAGTTTCCCGACATCCAACGGACTGCGTGGAGAAATTTTAGAAAATGCACCAGCAGGCTCTGTTATTGATCTTCCACCTATAAGGGCTACAGCGCTGCTAAATGTGGGGCAGATAGCTTACAAAATAATAAAAGGAAACGAAGATGCCTTATTTGCTTTACGAGAAAAGACTAAGAGTGGAATTCCTGAAGTCGCATCAGTAATTACAGAAGGTGACGTGGAAATAATTGCCATGAGGCCGCTCGATGCTGAAGCAAAGAGAACGTACGATTTGGTCCTTCAGGCAACAGATTTAAAAGGTGTTAATAAGGCAAGTCTTCCTATCAAAGTATATGTAACAAATGAAAATGATCATGAACCGATTTTCGAACAAGATATATATTATTTTGCTGTTAATGGAACGTTAGATCAAAACAGTGATAACGCTACAGCGCACTGGCAAAGATTTTCAAACATTGGCAAGGTTCATGCAATTGATGCAGACGGTGATCGCGTGTATTATACCTTGAAGGCGGCTAGTAATCTGGCTGTTATTGTACCACAAACGGGAGATTTAATTCTAGTTGGTAAACCCAATAGTCACGGCGCTGAGTTGCAAGTGCTTGCACACGATACTGGCTCACCTCCGCGTGAGAGTCGAGTGGCTCATGTCTTCCTTGAGTTCGTAGTACGTGATCAGAAAGATCTGCCTACTTTACATCGACAAAAGCGACGTGTTACCCGAGCTGTACGACCTACGAAGCGTATAGAATTTACCGAAGCTGACGGTGAAGTTGAAGGACGTGCGGTCTTTACGCTCGAAAAAGAAACTGATCGTGAAACATTTAAAATCCGGGACGAAAATCCGTGGGTCACTGTTGAACCTAGTGGTGTAGTGAAAGTTAAAAAGAAGTGGGACTATGAAGAGTTAGGGCCTGAGAAGACCATTGACTTTTGGGTTACCATCAGCAACGCTGGAAACGGAGGTAAGTTATTATCGGTGACAATAATTTGAATAAGATGTATCACAATTATAATCTACTTTATAATTATTTTCATATGTCGAAAAGATACGAAGATATGGTTTATTACCAAACATCCTATAAATCGTTCATTGCTGAAACAAATAAAAATTGGGATTTACAAATTAGTTATTGTTGTATGTTTATTTAATTGTTTGATTACTGTTTCAAAAATATCCTTTAATAATACGTCATTAATTTCTGAAAAATAAGATGTTTAGTTTATTTTCAATCTACAAAGTAACATCTCTATATTGAATGACTCGAGATAATGATAGGAAAGGATAATGAGCGAAGAGTGTATATTTATGGCGCCTATTAAGAGCGACTTCGTAGCTGCTAAGTGTCGAGGTTATAGAGTCTATTAGCTAGCTTAGCTCCTATAATATAGAGTATATAATAGACGGAATTATGCGGCACAATACCATTTTAGATAGTATATATTGCAGGAGTACTTATACTGTATTTTTTATATTATCTAGGGCTCCATTACCATTTAGCACCAGGTAGAATTGTGGCCAATCACAGGCTTATAATAATTAAACTAAAAAATATATGCTGTCTGTATATTTAGTACACTAGTACTTATATAGTGTTGCGGTTTTAATTTTAACTTTTTGTGACGTTTTACGGAAATGTTATTTTGTATCGAATGACTTTCGTCATCGACGTACAATGACAACGTATTTCGTAACATTACGTAGCCAGGGCTTGCGCCCATATAGACCAATGTGACATAATACCTCATAATACAGTCCGAAGGCTTTTGGTATCCCAAACGCGGTCAATTTTATAGTCCACACGAAAAAATTATTTTAAATTTCTTTAGAATATATACTATGACTGTTATTTTATATTAACCGCCGTCGGGTTTGTTAGTAGGTAAATGTTCACACATTATGTTTTACACATTTTTGACAGCTCGGGAAGTTTAAAAAAAATATTTTTAACATAATACGTGATACACATAAAAACAACCCATAAAAATTCCTGCTCTGGATTTTGTGAGAAAACCCTTTTATTGAATAATGTTCATTATTCATACATAACAATTTAATGCCGATTCGGAAGTTAATAATTATAGTAACTATATAAAAAGACGTGATAACGATTAGAAAATTAGAATGGACAGAAAGAGCAAGACATTTTCACTTTTCAGAAGTGTCATCAACATGACCATATTTTTGCATAGCAAAGGTGTTCAACAGTTTTAAAACTCCGTTAAATTCAAAGCATAATTACTGCTTCCTTTTTATATGTGAATAAGTATCTCATGTCAGTTAATCAATTAAGATTTCACGCTTTAAGTTCTTGTTTAAATTATTATTGAAGAATAATAAAAGATAAAATTTCGTACTTTAAATGAAATGGTAGCGACAGGTTGAAGCCACCGAACAGAATGCGTTGAAAATCAGGGACCTGTCGCACGGCCCCGAATACCTCGTCTTCAATTCTTTACGCCGCAAATCACGACATTGACACGGAATGTGCCTCTCATAGATGTTGCACTCACTAGTCAGAAAAGTTACTGGAATCGCTTTGTAAGTGTAGTATCTTACAATGTGTATTATAAATCTTTTATTTTTGACTGTAAGCAAAAAAAATATTTCGAAGATACGTAATGTCCGCCAATATGCATTACGGCCGCGAGGCGGACTCTTTTTTTTGCTCTCTCACCCTCTTAGAAATGAGAGAAGGGCTGTGCCCAGCTGTGGGGTATAGCAAATATAAGCGGCTAGGTTAGTAATTGCTTTTTTATAATAGAAATAACTATTTATTTATAAATAAATTAATAGAATTTATCGTTACCATGTGTAATAATTACGAAGAATACAATAAATAAGAAATTATTAAAAAGGAATTCGTTACATTAAAGTCAATTTTTACCTATATGAGTTAATTTTAACACATTCGTTTAAATTTTGGGTCGCCCTTTGCCATGTTGGGTGGCCTAGCTCCGGGCGAATCAAAAACTAACAACCCAATCTATAGGTTTAAATTACAAGGTAACAGTTTTTAACTGTAGAGAATGGCCGTATGTTTATGTAATTTAGAGCTAGGTACTATTATATTGTATATTTATAAATCAAGTTAATTTCTATTACTCCATAACTACGAAAGCTGACTTTATGAGCGGGTTTTTGCAGCTTAGTTTTGTTATTTACCAATTTCTGATTATTGATTGACGTTTCTAAATACTTTTGCTTGTTTTTAACCCCCGAGGAAACAGTGTGGCTAGTGAACCGATTTTGATTAAGTTTTTTTCGTATGAACGGTATCTTAATCGTGTTCTTAGCTATGTTTCAATAAAATCTGATCGGTCGTTTGAAGATCATCAGTTTTTTTGTTTCGTCTTTTATAAATTTTAAATTAAGTTATTATAATAAAATATAAACTCACTTTTCGTCTAACTAGTATCTAGTTTGACTCTTTCGTTTGCATTATTGTTTTCCAGTTAGATTTTTCAAGACGCGTTAAGTTGAAACGACAAATTGCTGTTGTGTACTGTGTAGAACAAAGTAGCGTTGAGAGCTGAAAAGCCTGCTCTATAGGAAAATTAATTCAATTCATACTTTCGACGTTATCCCAAATTTTTGGTGTAGAAAATAAGTGATGAAAGCTTTATAAATCTTTTATTATTTGTGCATTATTATTTAAATAACATTGCAGTAAAGAGAGAAATTAAGTGTTGTTGTTTTTCTGCTTTAATACGAGTAATCGATCATAACAAATGAGCCTGGATTACAAAGACACGTTAATGCTACAAAATGAATGGGGGTGCAACGTAAAATGCATTGCAATGGAGCTTAACGCTTTATTTACGCTCATTAAGATTCTTCTAGATGCTTTTTATAGACTCACGTGGCTGAAATGATTTAAAAATGCTTATGGATATTTATTACATATAATATTGTCCAGCTGATAAATATTTATAAATAAAAATACTTATTTACATTACTTAACACGGAAATAGAGATTTGATCGTTAATTTTGTAAAAATAAGCGTAAAAACGGATTTTCCGATGTTTGGCAAAATGTCAAAGATAATTTTTTTTAAAAGAATATTAAAAATGCTATAAAAATTACTAATATTCCCCTTAACCACCCGTGGTAAGCTTAAATTACTTGTGTTATGTCTGGTTCTCGCCAGTAGTCGAATATCGGAATCGAACGCAAAACTTTTTTGAGTTCGCGGTCCGCGCCCCGCTATTAGGCTACCGTCGCTTTAAATTTTTTTAAATATTTTACATTGTAATGCGACTAGCGATGCTACTATTGTACGCGAACTAATGTGTCGCCTGGGTAAGATCTATAAATGTAACGTTATTTTAAATTACGATAATACTCAAAGGCCATTTATTTCGTAAATTTTTCAATTAAAAATTGTTTAAGGTTTTATTCTTTGAAATATAGCCTAGATCCCTCCAGGCATTATTCTCAATTTGTCCGTACAGTTTCATCACTATTGGTTCAGCCATTTCAAGAATAGCCTGGGCAGACAGATAAACAGACAGACAGACGGATAAAAGTTATAAAAATTGTTATTTATGTCTTAATATAAGGTAGTTATTTCAGACACTTCCATTGTAATTCTATGTTTATATAAAATAATTTAATAATTTAAAAAAAATAATTAATTAGCTTATTTATTCATTGGTACAAACACTTAAAACCCTCATAAGAAATAATAACTAATAAAAATAAAACGAAATTCACGCTGTATTGCAATTTGCAACTATCATACCCTCTACAACAAATGAATTATCGCAACTTATTCTGTCGGAGCCACGTAAGGCGACTTGAGAGCACTCGCTGGACATTACATTATTATTATTTCTAACAATCATATAATAATTATGCAAAGTTCACATAAACTACATAGGTAGTATTATTATTTATTCTGTGCCTATATTTACATTTAATAATATTTTTATAGTACATCCCTCGTTACATGTATTGTTATAACATAATATTACAGTTTTATATGATGTCTGTGCGATTTGAAATTTACTATGGTACTCATTTTTATTCAAAAACTTTTATATAATAATAAGAGCGTAGGATCATTTACGTTTCAAACATATTCATCATAAATACTAATATAAATAGGTATTAAAAATCACAGTACAGTTGTCTGGCCCGTTTACACCTCACTCAGTTAAGATATCTACACGATCTTATTAAATTGTTACGTTCTATTTTGAGATTTCTTTAAATAATTTATAAATTGAACATTTTTTAAAATTGTTGGATTATAAACTTATCCGTTACCGTTACAGTTACAGTTAAATTGTGTTATAGAGGGGATATTTGCCATAGTTGCCACGCTTGGCAAGCGAGTTCGCAACCGCAGTTTTTTATTTTTAGTCGTTATTAGGATGATGCTGCTGCCCATCTCGTGATTTGGTTCCTTCTGTCGCCTCTTACGGCCTTCACGGGATGATATGGGGTAATAATAATGTCCTCCAGACCGAATTACGGCCACGGCGGTCTGCTTCAACAGAGGCAAGCCATCGGCACAGGACAGGATTATAGTGCCTAAGTGCATGCGCAAGCACAAGTGCACTCTCTATTCTTTCACTCTCATAATCCGATCCGATGGGACGGTAAACCGACACGACCGGAGAGAGATCAGGCGCAGGACCAACGCGGCTTTACGTGCTTTCCGAGGCACGGGGTTGAGACACCACCAACTTCCTGACTCCGGGCAGCTACTGAAAATTTCTTGACAGAAAAACTCAATAATTGATTTTTTGGCCCAACCCGGGATTCGAACCCAGGACCTCATGATCAGCAGTCGCACTACTACAACCACTAGACCAACGAGGCAGTCAAAAGTTAACACGAAGTACCTTCAGCTTTTTAATTATTGTCTTTGGTCCGATCTACGCAGAATGAACTGTGTTTTGAAGTCTTGCAGTGCTATGGTGGATTCGAAGTCTGCAGTTTGCATCATATCCTAG